CCCGTTGGCCAGTTGGGGTCAGCTGTCCTGGCTATGCTCCCTCCCAGCTTCTTGTGCACCTGGCAGAGCATGGGAAGCTGGAAAGTCCTTGACTAGAATAAACACTACTTCGCAATAACTGAAACATCAGTGTATTATCAACATCATTCTCATATTAAATCCAAAACATAGCACTATACCAGCTACTAGGAAGAAAATGTAACTCTATCCCAGCCAAAACCAGGACAATTATTTTGCCACCATATAATGATCTACCTCCAATCACAAATGAGGGGTTCTTTATTGAAAAAAAAACGCCCGGACTTCATGGATGCCCACCACCAGCAAAATAAAGGGTGAAAACACCAGCTCACTTCCGATCGCTCCCCCTCCAGCAAATATTCCACTATATTTTTTTTAACCTTGGACTCTCTCCACTCCGGAGAGCAGAGCCTCATACGGCTAAGCACCACGCAGATGGGTAGTGAAAGACAGCCCAAGCCCTGCAGCAGCTTATAGTCCAGAGGGGTGCGGAGGACCTGTCAGATACACTGCTCCTGCTGCAGCTGAGCACGGTTAAAAGGTTAATGCCTCAAGCTGCTGGTAACTCCCCACCACTGGTCCACTCTGCCATTCCCTCGAATCTACTGTGAAACTTGCTTGTTCCCTCACCAACTGTTTTTGAACAATCTCATTGTAAAAAAAAAAAAAAAATTCATTGAAAAGATTATTTTGGCAGTACTGAGTTAGGGAGCAGCCACACACGCAGTTATGCCGGCAGAGCTGAGGAAGCTGTGATCTTTGAGCTTGAAGCACCCGCTGCCAAAACAGCACATTTTGGTATCCCCCAAAATCCTCAAGAGGCCAAAGAGAATAACCAGCATATGCAGTCATGGGAAGAGATGAAAATTCAGCACAGCTCCCCTGAATCTGGTGTAATAACAAGACCATCTCTCCTCTCCTAACAGTGCTGCTCACCAACAACTCCTCCTTACTTCTTATTCTTGCGCACCAAATTTGTTCCCCCAAATCCTTCCCTTGGTCACCTAGCCTCTCACCCTCTCTCTCACATTCTCCTCCCAACCACGTAATTCTTCCTACTCTGAACTCCAAATTAAGGGAGCTAGTGATAGGATTAACCACTTAGTCTATCTAGTAATTATACAGTTATCTTAACTCTCTTTGTCCGGTCTCCTTTATCGGTCTCTTTAAGTCTCTTTAACAGGTCCTGAATTTACCGTGGACAAAGATAGGTGTAATGTATCACTACATGCTTTGCGGCAGCTTGTATAATGGGATCCCAGTCCCGAGATGAGCCCTGAAAAGAGCTATGCTCTAAAAACCAGCGATGATGCCATAACAGAGATCCTACCGAGGCTTCAGCCTTGGGCATTAAATCTCCAGCTCAAAACTTACACTCCTCTCTCACCGTGAAACTGCAATTAACAGCCAGTGTTGTGCAGTACTTGAGGGACCAAAGACGGCTTAGGCACAGCTTTAACATCATCCCAGCACTTACTTGAACAAAGGGTTTTTAGGTCTTTGTGGTTTCTTCTTTGCGAAGAACGCTGCAAATTCTCTCCCAGAGCTGGCGTAGCTAAGCTGGGTGGACGGCTCTGAGGCAGTGCGAGTGTTCTTCATATCCAGATACTCTGTCAGCAGCATCTGCCAACAGAAGGAAGGGGAACTCAACATTCGAAATAAAACAGCATTATAATATAACTTGAATGTCTAGGATCCTCAGGTACTCTGTAAGACTGGAGGGTTAATAAAAATCTCAAATTCTTATTAACAGAAACCTAGCTTCATTTTCAGAAACGTGATCCTAGTGACTTATATGCCACTGTCACTAATTTGGTAAAAGCTCATTTTACATTACTTGACCAACTCAATCTGCTACAAAACCCTGATGGTACCAAAGGTACCTTGCAAGAAGTCCCCACTCCTCCCAAAACTGATTCTATCAGCAGCAGCAACAGGGAGATGGTGGGTGGGTTGTTGGCTGGCCTTTACAGACTGATTACATACCACAGCTCTTAAAAACGTAAAGGTTAGCAATATTGATCTGTCCAGTTACAAAAACATACTTTATATATGCGTATGTATGCCTGTATGTTTTCTATGTATTTATATGTAGAAATAAAAAACATCCATGCATGTGTTCAGGTAGATGCTGTTGGAAAAAATCCTGGGAATGCTGCAAAAATTGCCCTTTAATAGCCCCTAAACCAAACGTGCTTCTTTTACCATTGAAAATATGAATTCCCACAGCCGTCAGTTCTGCCAATGTAGTATAGGATTGATTTTCCTCTAGCCCAGTATACTCAGTAAGGGGTTGGGGGGTCCCTTTTTGAGACCAGGGTCCCCTTTGTGAAACCCTTGCAGCCCTGAGTGGTGGCCCTGATATTTGATGCTGTTTACGCAACTCCGTGTTGCAGAAGCAGAAACAAATCCCAAGACATTGATTCTTAATTTCCTTGTGTCTGAAGAGGGAAAGAAACCCCTTAAAAATTAACTTTTGTCAGAGCATTCAGAAAGCCTCTATTTATTTTCAGAAAACTCTACCTACTCGGAGGCTATTAGTAATGTGTTCCATTTTAATAACTACCTAGTCAAAGCCCATCAAAGAGAGTTGTAATGAAAGGAATCAGTACTGTGCTAAGTTTAAACAAACTACATAGTAATAAATACCTGGGCAAATGGTATCATGCCCCTAATTAGAAACAATTTAGGATATCTTGGGAAAAAAAATAATACAAACACAAAGAAACTTCAACTCCTAAAACATCTCAATTAAAACTTTACCTGAGCGCAAGCCTTTATAATACATGCTTATTATTAAGAGTAAAAATAATCACTGTGCTAATTTTTAGCAGTAATTTACCAAACAATTTGTATTCACATATTTGCATTTCATCTTCTCTATTTGAATTAATAATGCTAAAATCACCACAAAAATGTAATTAAACCCTCAAACTTAATCAAGTTTAAAAAAAAAAAAAGAAAAACACTTGGCAATTTGTTCTCCCATTATGGATGAAACCTATTTATAATGGCTACCATGACTCTGGTGTCACTGTATATCCAGGACTAGGAAATGTAAAGTGTGTAATACAGTACTTGGCTCCAAGATTACAATAAGCCAACTGAGGTTTGAGCTAGAAACATAATGAATTATCCCTATTCGTTAAAAAGTGAAATAGAGAAAAGATGAGTTTGTGGTTAGATATTCAGAACAGTTCTGAAAATGCCACAGATAGGGAAAAGAAGAGAAAATTGTTAATTTATGGTATTACTAGATAGGCAGGGCAGAATGGCTAGACGCAAGGCTCTAAAAAAGTAAAAAGCTGCAAAAGAAGTGAAAATAGCTGGTTTTGATAACTATTCTCAAAGTTCATCTCAAAGTTATAAAATTCCGGCATAGCAGAAACCGTGCTAGACAGATCAAAGCTCTTTCTGCTCCAGTGCCCTGTATTTAACAGTTACACAAATTCTTCAGAATGAAGTAATTAAGCGTAAGCATGGCTGAGCAGTTACAATACACAGCCAAGCAGCAGAGAAGTTAAGACAGGAGAGATCTTCAATGCACAGTAGATGTGCCTTCCAACTGCAGCATGAAGATTAAAACCCTTATAATTTTTAAGCAATGCGATTAACATGTGGGCGAGTCTGAAAATCTTGCCAGCTACTTGCCTCAAAAAAACAGCCTGAAGTTTTTGTTTCTCGTTGCATTGTGCAATGCATGGCCTTCACCCAATGTCATCGGCCTCAATTTATTCCCTACGTCTGGACAAAGTTATTCAGTTGTTCTGCTCTCATAGTCCTAGTAGAGGATTTTAATAAGTATCATATTTCAATGTTAGAAGTTGTGGCCTGGCCGTGTACTTACTAAAAGCCACAGCAAGCTAGAACTTTAAAATCCACTTAAAAGAAAAACCAAACATTTTCCTGCCTATCTAAGCGAACAGGAGCTTGCCTTAACCAACGAAGTAAGGGATTTCATGATTTGGTCCCATAACACCTGATTAGTAGTTGCTAAGCCATCAATCAAAACCCTTGTTAGACATTAATCACATGGACGTAGAGCAAGATTTATGAGTGACTGTAAAGTCTGCAACATCCCATTCATCTATAACAAGGACTTTGACTTTCTGTTCAATGGTTGAATTCTGCCATCCATGTAGTATATTTATGTCAATGTCAAACAAATAAAGCCGTACGTAAAGCAAGAGAACAAAGCACTCTTTCTCCAACTGCTCTTTGGAAATGGAAATGAATATAAAATGTTTTATTAAAAAAGCAATATTTATGGATTTGGAGGCTTAATTAAATTCTCAAATTTCAAAAGGTCATATCAGTATGTGTAGCCTGTCTATCACGTTGATCCGGTAACAGCTTGCACTACACTGTCTTTCTGAACTGCAACGGGGCAAGAACAAATCTGCTTCTGTGTCTGACTGCTGCATGCACTTGCTGCGACTCTCCAGATCCACATTTTTATTCTTTGGCTGAGCCCCACGAGAAGTTGTGTAAGTCGTTATGTCTTACCATGCTCAAGATTGACCTATGAACAAAGCATGGGCAATAAAACATGCCTGGCCACAGGGCCACAGCTAAATTCGTTCATTATTTGTACCTCTTGTGAGGTTTTAGATAGGAGGCCTGAGCTCTGAATAAGCTCTATTCCATCAATTAAAAGCTGTAAATAGGTATTTCACATCCTCATATACTGTGAATTAAGATGGATTGCTGCAGTGTGAACAGTTTGCTCCATCAGAAAATCATGACAGTTTCAAACTCTACACCATCAGCACTGATTTTCATTATGCCTTCATAAATTTGGGGGGGTCCAGAAAATCAAATGAAAAATAACACCATACCGTGAATTTTGCAAGGGTAAATGGTATGACCAGGTAATTACTGGCCTCTCCACCTCATATTGATCAGGGACAAAAAAAAAAAAAAAAAAGAAAAAAAATCGCAGAACAGATGATAGAAGACTCTATTAAAGAAGAATTAAGGGAGAATAATAGAATTCATGTCCAGTGACACGAATTTACAGAACACAGATCTCGGCTAACCGGTATTCTTATGATGATGACAAATTTAGCTTTAAATAAACAGAGAGAGAGAAAGTTGTGTTTCCAACAAGGATCTGACAAAAGCCAAAACACTAAAAGTCAACACAGCACCTCCTAAAATAAAAACGGGCAGGAACGTGAAAAGATCCTTAACATACAACAATGAGAACAATGAGGAAACCACCGATACTGGATTTTGCAAGGTCCCAGAAATTTTAATTCCTCTTTTCCTTTTGTCCTTTGTATTCCAAAGGAAATACAAGACTATTCCAGAACTCTTCTCTTTTGTTGGATAGAAATCGTCTAATTTTCAGCGTAGGTTTGGTCCACCTTCATTTTTAAAACAATAGTAATTATAAGAAGCTTAATCAGACAATGACAGCACGTACAAGAGTGGCTGCAACAACCCCTTTCCGGACTGAATGGACCAGAACTTTTCCCATTTCAAATTCCTATGAAAATGACTACAGAAGGTTTGTTAATTATAATGTTTTGGGGGAAAAATGGTATATAATAAAGTGAACACAGCATTAACAGAATAATGTAATTTTCTTTCTTATTATTATTATTTTTCATCATATAATCAATCTACTGCAAGAATTTCAATGTCAGCAGAGGTAAATCTCTACAAGGAAAAAAAAGGAAAAAAAAAAATTCAAGTCATGATCCATAGGATTACTGTATAAAGCTGTGACTCTAGCAAAATTTGGGAATATTGAGGATAATCAACAGCAGAGAAGGTCCCACTGTGACGATGGGTGTTAATTAGCTAATTGGAAATGGCTATATAAAGCAGAGAGCTTTGTCAGAAGTAAAAGTTTACAGCATCGCTCTGTATTGGTCTCACATCTGGAATGCCAAATGAAACCCTGGCATTCATAAACAAAGAGACATCAGGGAAAAAGCGGGTAGAAGGGTGCACAAAAGAGGCCTGGAAGTTATAAAAGGCTGGAAGGCCTTTGCTTACAGCAAAACACCAAGAAGCTATGAGCTCAGTCTTGTTAGCTTGCGAAGAGAAGGCTATGAGGTTACTGGATTAGTCTGCAAGCATGCAACACAGAGGGCACAGAACTGATGAAAAAAATCTTCACTAATGAATTTCTTAAAAAAAATCCAAAGGCTGGAAAGTTGAAGCTAGACAGGCTTTGATGAACGGTTAGGCATACACTTCCAGAGCATAATTAACCACTTACATCAAACGTTACACTCTATTGTCTGTCACTGAGTTTTTTTATTTTCCCCAGTCAAGACTGGATGCCTTTCTAAAGCATGTGCCCTCTTTCAAACAGGAATTAATTCAAGAAAGTACCATAGCTTGTTTTACACAGAAGTCAGCCGAGAAGATCACAACGGCTCCTTATAATCTGGGAATCTTAATAAAGCTGTCGCACCATTCAGTGCCAGCTCTCAGGCTCCTGCATGAAGGAACCATTAGTGTTCAAAGTACTATTGCTGCGCAGCACCTTTAGTTACCATTTTGAGTTGATACAGGAAATAAAAGCTACTGGTAACGTTTGTGTTTGGTGAACGGTTTGTGCTAGTGGAAACTTCTCACCCAGGCCTGTCTTTAGCAACCACTGGGCA